CTATCTCACTGGGTGTGACTACACTGGTCTGCATCTGGCTCCTTGGATATAAGTTCCTATAGAACTCCTTTCCATCTCCTGATATCACTATGTACTCATTATATCACTATGTACTCATTTGCGTGATTATCTGATGAAGGTCTGTCTTGACCGTGAGAGCTCCCTGAGAGCAGGGACTGTGTCTGTTTACTCATCACCGGTTTTCTAGTATCTAGAACCCCTTAAACATGCATGTGAATAAATGACACATGTGAAATTCATCTAGGACTCCAGGTCCCTATGCAGTTTAAAGATTATTTTTTTTTCAGCCTAAGAAAACACATAGAACCTCAAACAGAAATTCCTACTTGCTCTTTAATAAAAGATGTAAAGTTCTTTAAAATATGTATATTACTGTGTGGAAAAAGATCAAACGCTAAATAAAACAAGCACCACACAACTCAGCTATCAAAAGAATAAATTCTAATAAAAAGTTGTAATGTCATATTAGATCATAGAAAGAATCATTACATATCAATGTAGGATATAGTCTAAATGTAACCTAATGATATTAAATTAAAATTGTGATTAAAACTGTAAAATGTGATATTTTATCATCAAAAGTTTTTAATACTGCAAATTATAGTTTTAAAAATTCTTGATTAGTTCTCATAGATGAAATAACTTATCACTTTAGACTTCGTGTTAACTAATAGTTTGATAATGCAGGCAGTATAGTCTGTCTTATTCATCACTATATGTCCACTGGATAGTACAATGTCTGTGGCATAGTATGCACGCAATAAAATGCATAGAATGCACACTGAGATTTCTTCATAAACAAATTGAAAATTTTTACATTAATGGATATAAATACCTGAATAGTTTGTGAGCATATAAACAAATATAAATCCTATTCCTTCCACAATCCTACCTGCTAAATGGCTCCTCTACCAACGTTTTCTTTTTTCTTTTAATTTTTTATTTTAAAGACGTGGGGTACAATTCAGGATGACGTATACGAATGTTCATTATGCAGGTACCTTGTTGATGAGGTGTGCCCTGCCCCCTGGCAGTTTCCCACTACTGCCCATCCCTTTCTTACAGTATTATGATAGCTTTTCAAGGTCTGCTTATGAGTGAGAACCTATGATACTCGGTTGTTTGTTTCTGTGATAGATCACTCATTATGAAGCCTCTAAGTCCATCCAAGTTGCTCTGAAGTTCATAATTTTGTCCTTCTTTTTGCTGTGTCATATTCCATTGTGTATATGTACCACATTTTTTGGATCCAGTCCTCTTTAGATGGGCAGCAGAGTTTGTTCCATGTTTTTTCTACTGTAAATAATACTGCAATAAACATGCGTGCGCAAGTAGCTTTTACCAAAGTTTTCTTATCCTTTAATCATTTCATCTGGTGATGCTTATTTATACAAACTACCATATTATATACCGCCATCCAAATATCAAATATATTGCTCTTAAAGCTGCAGTTCTTTCCCTTCAATAAGCATCTTTAGCATGTCTAACGCTGCTAAAAATGTTATTCCTTGGTCTCTACAGTTGAAAAGACAAACTCTAATGTTTTCTTTAAAACTGGAAAAATCATACTGATATATATCATTAAAAGTTACGACTACTTATATTGAAGTTACCAATTGAAAATTTAATTTTCTTTCTTGAAAAATGATTTCAATATTAACTCATGTTTCAACTAGAATAGTCTAATGTTTTAAGATGACTATAGTATTATATCCCGTATACTTTATTTCAAATAGATTCCTAATGTAAAGGGAAAAAATAGATTCTTGCAGATACAGATGCGACGTAAGTATAAAAATTTGATATTTGCTGCCACCTTGTGACTGAGTAAAATATACTCTTCATTGTCTTTGAGAAGAAAAATTGCTTTTTCCCACAGTCAACGTGAAAGATTATAGAACTAAGTGCCCAAAGTGTTACAATATTTTCCTAATTTACAATGTTATATTATAGGTTGTAGCACAAACAGAAAACACTATAATTACATACACCGTGCATTTTCACATTAAGCCCCTGAACTTCCAAAGGTGTCTATTGATCTGATAACTAGTTATTAACACAATTGTTATTCATAAAGAACACAGTCAATGAAAAGGAAAGCAAGTTTTCGGGTTGATTATCTGCTTTTTAATTCTAAAAACACATGGAACTCACATCCCTTGCATTGAAGGGATAAGTAGTCTATTTTTTATTTATTTTTTTATTTTATTATTATTATTATTTTTGAGTTGGAGTCTCACTCTGTTGCCCAGACTGGAGTGCAGTGGCCGCTTCCGGCCACCGCAGCCTCGACCTGCTGGGCTCCGGCGATCCTTCCGCCTTAGCCTTCCAAGTAGCTGGAATTACAGGCATGCGCTACCACACCTGGCTGATTTAGTCTATTTTTTAAATCATTAAAAGAGAAGAAAGTAAGGGAATCTTTTTCCATTATCATCTGGTGTTGACCAAATGAGTTCAGGGGGTGATCATTAACTCTATTATTGAAGGATAGTATCAAATTACTATTTTATCATGGCTTTTATATTTTTTCTTTTTCTTTTCTTCTAACTATTTGCCAAAGAGGTTAGAGAATATTAAAGAAGAAACCTAAATTTGTTCATATACTCCAACTACAAAGGAAAATCTGAAAGCAAATAACAGGGTTTGCTTTTTAAAAAATAATTGGGGATCATACTATGTATAGATTTAAGTATCCCTTCACTCAATAACAAGATTATCAAAAGTTGGATCAAATGTGCTTGGGAAATAAAAAGAATGGTTCATTTAGGGTTGAATTTCTAGCATCAATTTCGTGAGCTCACAAAAGCCCCAATGTATAAATTGTACAACTTATAAGTACAACAATGTGTACGTTGTACATTAGCATTCATTTCCCCTAAATGAAAAATTATGAAATTCTACTATATTAGCTTATTCATCTATTCAAAAATTATTAAAACTCAGATATTTTTCAATTTACGTCAAAATATCCCAAGTTCAGTAAGCTGATATAAGACACACTACCTACCCCTAAGGAACTTGCAAAATAATGAAAGAGACTATAAGCTAATGTTCCCAAAATTAAATGGTAAATATGTAATCAGGAATATGCCTATTTAACCATAATATCTTCTATTTACAAGATAAACAGTAAGAAAAAATGATATCACAGAGACAAAGCATGGTCCATTCCATCTTATTCAAATGACTAAAACACTGTGGACACCTAACCCATCATCATCTCTGTCTTACTAACAGGCCTCCCTACTTCTCCCTATTTCTTTGCTGAGATGACAGAATAGACATTATGAGTTAAAGTTCATTGCTTGGATTCATATTTGCCTACAACTGGATCTGGTTTCATGATAGTTTTAAAAAGATCTAGTCTATGAGAAGTAAACTAACTTCAAAAACACTGGATCTTTCATCTCTCATTAGAGTGTGAGACTGGGTTTTATCTGCCAAATTTTTATTCTCAACATTTAATAGTAATTAGCACAGAGCAGACACTCAAAAAATGGTCACTGAAAGACTGAATTCGGCCAAAAGATTCCTGAATTAACTGTGTAGCCACAAGTATGCAATGTATAAGTTTTCTACTTTCTATTATAAACAGTTCCATGAAGACAAATCCTAGTGAATGCTTCTGGACGCTTTGGAAACTCTTGGCTCATTAACTTAACCTTGGAGACACAAACATAATAACCTGAAATTTTATGTTATATAGCTTTCTACCTCTTTAACATAACATATAGTTTTACAAATAGCTACAGCTCAGAATCAGGAAAATAAGCATGCATACCATAGTACAATACCTTTCAATTTAATTGCCACATCAATATAGGACTGCAAAAATGCCATGGATACTGCTTGCCCTACATGAAAAAAAATTCAACAAAATGCATGTGTATCTCCAAAGCACCCACACTTAGATATAACAAACATATAGATTTATGGGGTTTCCCAAATTTGTTATTCTTTTTTTTTTTTGAGTTGGAGTCTCCTCTGTCGCCCAGACTGGAGTACAGTGGCCGCTCCCGGCCACCGCTGCCTTGACCTGCTGGGCTCCGGCGATCCTTCCGCCTCAGCCTTCCAAGTAGCAGGAACTACAGGCGTGCGCTACCATGTCCGGCTGATTTATTCTGATGTATTGTAGAGATGAGGTCTCGCTGCCCGGGCAGGTCTTGAACCCGCGGACTCAAGCAATCCGCTCACCTCAGCCTCCCAAAGGCATGGGATTACAGGCCGAGCCACCGAACCCGGCTTTGTTATTTCCTAATGAGAAGTATCTTAATCTACAGCCCTCAAGAAGGTCCAAACATTTAAGGGAGTTTCAAAGGCAGACAACTTTCTGCATTTGTACTGCAAGGAATATAGCTGAATGGCTATTATTTGAAGATAAAAGCAATAAATTTACTACAAATCTTTAAGAACTGTTAATACATTCAAAACCATTGGCTTGAATAAAAGCTTATAAAAATTAACATCTAGCTTAATCACTAACCTTTAATTTTTACAATTATTATTTTAAAGATGTGGAGTACAATTCAGGATTAGGTACATAAGCGGTCATCATACAGGTGAAGTTTGGGCTTCCCTTGGGTCCTCACTTGGCCTGGTTTGGGATGAGGTGCCCTTATTGATGCTATGTGCCAACCCCCCCCAACCTCTCTGGGAGTGTCCCGCTACAGCCAATCCCTTTCTTGTAGTGTCATGATAAATGTTCAGGATCCACTTATGAGTGAGAACATGGGGACTCAGTTCTTTGTTTCTGTGACAGATCTCTGAGTAATTAGCCTTTAAGCTGTAAATCACATATAAACCGGCTGTACAATCCCAGAACCAGTTAGAAGTGAATGCCTCAATGTGTGTAGATAACCTGAGACATATGAAAGCTCTGTCATTTTTACAACGTGTGATATGCAGAATGAAAAATTAAATCTGTGTACTTTTAGATGTCCTAGTATATAATACAGATAATTTCTTCTAAAGGCTCCTACTCACACCCGGCATAGAAGAGCACTATGCTGTCAGAAGCCATGACTGTCGCGTTAAATGTCTCTTCTGTTAGTTCCACTGTAAGTTCCAAAGGTAGCTGCCTCTTCCTGTCTCTGTAAACAGTTTCTGCCACTTCGTCATCTTGAGTATCTAAAATGTTTGAAAAGAAATTAATTTAAATATAGATAGATAATTTAAAATATTTAAGCAGAAACTTTTGAATTCATACTATCTTAATAGTTAAAAGTCATAATATTTTGAAACCTTTGCCTGGCTTCCTACCTTCAACATCTCTGAGATGCTTCCTGACTCAGAATTGTGAAATTTTAGTCAATTCCAAAATTAAAATTTGTTCTACTAATAATAAGTAGTGCTATTTTGCTCCTATATAACTATATTAATTTATAATCCAAAAGGGTTCTACCATACATCTTGGACAGTGTCTATCTGCCTCTACTATATGCCAAGCACTCTGGTGGACACTAGGGAAAGTGGTAAACAAAACAAACGTGGTCTCTGACCACATGGAGTTGCTAGCTGAGGAAAAGACAAACCGATTACTGAATAAATATATAACTATAAATGATTATCAGTTCATGAAGAAAGGTAAATCATAGCAGGGAGTGTTTTTAAACTTTTAATTTTTTATTTTAATTTATTTCAGAGTTGACGGAATACATGTGAGGATTTGCTACATAAGTAAATTGCTTGCAGTGGGGTTGGTGTTCTAGTGAGCTACATCTCCCCTGATAGTAGATATGATAAACAGAGAGATTTAGATCAGGAAACTCAAAGTCTGCAGATAGAGAAACAAGAAAAGAATGTTTTAGACAAAGAGAATAAAATATACAAAAGCTCTGAGGAAAATTTGACTAAAACAAGATGGGAAGAAAGGAGCAAATGGCATAAGAAAATTCTAGGGTAGGCAGTGGCTGGATCATAAGAAGCCATATGAGCTGAGAAGTTTGGATTTTATCCTAAGTGCATCAAGTTAGGAGTGGATTCCAAATATGTGAAAACCTTTCATTAGATTAGTCAATACATTGATAGATCCATCCATTCATCAATGTATGTGGTAAAACACATTTTGATTTCATAAATATTCTATTGGAAGTCTGTGCAGATTGTTTGTAACACAGAAGGAGCATCTAACTTGATTAAAGACACAAAGCTTCTTAGCTATTAAAGGAAAAAATAAAACTCAGGAGGCAGAGAGGAGAGGCAGTGGTGGCACATGGAGCAAAGGCACAGCATGTGCAAAGGAACAGTGGCCTGAAAGAGCATGGTGCAATCAGAAATGCAAACACTGTGTAAGCAGCTGATGATAGTAAGAACAGTTACTTTTTTAGCTATTATAATAGTTTTAATTATGTTACTTTTAAAAAAGAAAAAGTCTTATATTTTCAAAACATACAGGGAAGTATTTATGGATAGAATTATATGTTTGGGAATGGCTACAAAATAACAAACAGGGAGTGAAGCAGCAGGTTTAGCTATGGGGTGATGGCAGTTGGGGCCAATTTGATAGATACCAGGAGGTTTGTTCTATTATCCTATTTTATGGCGTGTTCAAAATTTTCTGTAACAACACACTAAAAAGAAAGGAAGAAAGAGAAGAAGCAATGATTTCAAAGAACTGAAGTATTATTTTATATATAATACAGTCATGTGCCGCACAATAATGTTTCGGTCAACAAAGGGCCCCGTATGCGATTGTGGTCCCATAAGGTTACAAAGGAGCTGAAAAACTCCCATCACCTAGGTGTTGCAGCCCTTGTAAGATCATAGCATAACACATTACTCAGGTGTTGTGGTGATGCTGAGACTACAGGCATGTGCCACTATAACTGGCACTTTTTTTTTTTTTTTTTTTTGGTAGACAGGTAGTTTCGCTACATTTCCTAAGCTGGTCTTGAACTCCTGGGCCCAAGCAATCCTCCTGCCTTGGTTTCCTAAAATCCAGGATCACAGGTAGAGCCATGTGCCCAGTCTGTTTTTTTAGAGTGTACTCTTTCTACTTACAAAGTAAAAAATGAACAGCTTCAGGCAGATCCTTCAGGAGATATTCCAGAAAAGGCATTGTTATCAGAGGAGATAACAGCTGCATGCAGGGTACTGCCCCTAGAGACTTTTCAGAGAGACAATATATGAGGGTGGAATACAGTGATACTGATGATCCTGACCCTGTGTAGGCTGAGGCTAATGTGTGTGCTTGCATTTTCATTTTTAACAAAAAAGTTTAAAAAATAAAATTTTAAAATTTAAGAACAGAAAAAAGCTTACACGATAAGGATATAAAAAAAGAAACTATTTCTGTATAGCTATACAATACGTTTGTGTTTTAAGCTACAAGTTATTATGCAAGGGTCAAAAAGTTAAACAAATTAAGACATAAAGTAAAAGACTGACATTAAGCTAAGGTTAATTGATCATTGAAGAAAAACATTTTTTATAAATTTAGTGTAGTCTAAGTGTATGGTATGTATAGATCTACAGTAGTGTACAATAATGTCCCAGGCATTCACACTCACTGACTCGCCCAAAGCAATTTTCAGCCCTGCAAGCTCATTCTGGATAAGCATCCTTTACAGGTGTGCCATTTTTTATATCCAGACCATACCTGAAGTGTACCTTTTCCATAGTTAGGTATGTTTACATACACAAATGCCACCATGTTACATTTGTCTACAACATTCAGCAAGGAACATGCTGTACAGGTTTAGGCTATACCATACACCGTAGGTTTATGCCATCTAAGTTCGTGTAAGTACACTCTATTATGTTCGCACAAAGAAACTGTGTAACAATGCATTTCCCAGAGCATATCCCTGTAGTTAAGCAACACATGACAGTATTATAAAATAAAAGTCTAGGTCTGAGGCCAGGCTCAGCAGCTCATGCCTGTAATCCCAGCACTTTGGGAGGCTGCGGCTGGAGGACAGCTTGAGCCCAGGAGTTCAAAACCACGTAGTGACACCTTGTCTCTACAAGGAAATTACAAAATTAGCTGGGCGTGGTGGCACATGCCTATAATCTGAGTGACTTAGGAGGCTGAGGTGTGAGGATTGCTTGAGTCCAGGAGTTTTAAGACTGTGGTGAGCTGTGATCATGCCACTGCACTGCAGCCTGGTTGACAGAGTGAGACCCCGACTCAAAATAATAAAATAAAAAAATAAAACTCTAGATCTAGGATTCAAGATCATCTCATCCATTTTCTACTGTATGACTCTAACTGACCACACAACGCTTTGGGCCTCAGTGTTCAACTCACATAGAGTAACATAACATAGCTCACATAACCTAACACGTAAGAGTCGCACTACATTAACTTTAATGTCTTTTCAAACACCAAATTCCATGCCACCAAAAAGTTACATCCTCAATACCAAAACTAGTAGAGACCTATTTTCTTATTCATTATATTTTTCTTATTTACATATTTTCATTTTCCTGCCAGTCTTTTCCTTTTTCAGTTCATCCGTTCTTCTCTTGTTGCAGTACCTCCTTTTTCCTCCACTCTCACCTGCAAATTCACCTACTCCTTGGCTTTCTTTTTCTTTTCCTTTTCTTTATTATAAAGATGTGGGGTACAATTCAGGTTTATGTATACAAGCATTGATTATGCAGGTACCCTTGTTGATGAGATATGCCCCTCCATCCCATAGCAGCTTCCCTCAACTGCCAATCCCACCCCCCGTCCCTGGCAGTTTCCCACTACTACCAATCACTTTCTTATAGGATTATAATTGTTCAAGGTCTGCTTATGAGTGAGAACATATGGTACTCTGTTCCTTGTTTCTGTGCTAGATCACTGAGTATGATCGACTGTAAATCCATCCAAGCTGCTGCAAAGTCCGTATGTTTGTCCTCCTTTACGGCTGCATGATATGCCACTGTGTACCACATTTTTTAAATCCAATCCAGCTTCGATGGGCAACATGGTTGGTTCCATCTTTTTGCTATTGTGAATAGAGCTGCAACAAACATATGTGTGCAGGTAATTCATCCCTTCTTCTCTAATTGCAGTACCTCCCTTTTCCTCTATTCTCACCCGCAAAGTCACCTACTCCTGGGCTTTCCTCCTTTCACCTATTCACCAATACAAACACACCACTTTTAGCCACCCATGTTTCTTTTTTTGTCTTTCATGTTGCCCTTTTGTGGGACCCACTCTTTTATATTCCGGGTCATGCTTTGCCCATCTCCTTTGGGAGACACTTGTTTCTGATTTATACTCTCAAATGGTAACAACTTCTTTCCTAATCCTCACCTAGTTTTCCTATATAGATGGAAATGATATATAGAAAAGGGAAAGAATTATGTAGATGGACACATCATATGATATTCTGGGCCAGTATGGAATATAGACAACAGGAAGTTAAGATTTAAACTAGGGCAAAACTGCAAGAGAAGAAATATTAGAAACAGGCTGGTAGTTATTGATCGTTTCCAACACAAAAAATGATAAATGCCTGATATGACGGATATGCTAATTACCCTGATCTAATCACTGTACATTATGTGTCTTGAAACAGCACTACACACCCCATGAATAGGTACAATTATTACTGGTCAATTAAAAAATAAAAGAAAAAAAAAAGAAAAAAGAAGGCAGTAACCACCAAAGGGCAATCTAAGGCCATAGACTCACGAAGCAATGGAGGGGATGTGACCACCAGGAAATCCTGAAACAGGCAACTCCCACTGAGGACAGGAATCATATTAAGCTGAGACTGGGGCAAGTCCCCTAACTGTGAAGGTCCAAACATATGAGCCATAATAGAAATAAAGCAGAAAGCACGAGACCGGAACACAGGTTGCCTAAGGAACGACAAGCCTGTCGAAAACTCTACAGAGGAACACAAGCAATTCTAATCTCTGCATATCAGAAAAGAACCAGACTCAGCTCACACCAAGAAACTGGTCACTGACAGCTCTTATTACATTTGTGACATAGACTTTGATCATCATAAGGAATAGACTTCATGAAAACATGAGGTAAATCGCTTCCTTCTTGGGGCTCATGATAACGGTACTATATAAATTCAATGTTAACTCAATGGTATACAAGAACAAACAAGATGTAACCCTGGATTTAGAGACATTTACAGACCAGTGGTGAAGAGAGAAAAGCCAATGAACAATTGCAGAGTAGCAGAAATGTTACAAAAGATGGATCAGGAACAATAATGATAATAATGACAATGTGTCTGAGAGCAAATGACTGAACTCACAGGAACTGCAGGCTCTTCATCTATAAAATGAAGGTGGCATCAGCTAACTCAGAGGATATCAATTAAAGTAAACAATATGTGGGGAATTACTACAGAATACTTCATAAATGTAAGCAATAAGGGTAATTTAAAAAAAGGAATAACTGTTTAAAATAAGAATTAAAACGTTATTGAAAATGACTCACTATACTGTTAACAACTAGACTTATTCACAACCACAAACACAATGGTATTCATTAGAATTTTGTCTCCTAGTAAAAATAATAAAAACGAAATATGCTGTGGCTTCTGAGTGGAGTTTTTAAACAAGGACTAGGTGAGAAGGGCCAAAGGCACTGATGTGGCAGATGAAGGCACAGATGTGGGAAGTCTGAAGCCTGACAGGTAACAATGGAAGGTGTCACACGAAGAAAACACAGCATCCTTACGTGCTTTCAGCAAGTCAACTTCATAAAATGTGATTCAAAATAAATTCCACCAGGATTCTTCACAGATTCTTGAACATGAATACATGCTATGGGAAATTTAGATCACTGGACATTTCCCTGACCCTGGGGGGCCGGGCAGGAGCGGGGCGAGCATTACAGCAACTTACCCACAGCTGGGCCTTCCACGTAATCGTCTTCATCTTCTTGCATTTCTTCAATGTGCATATTATTTTCCACATGAGATATTATTAAGTCAACATCACGTAACACCAAAAATTCCACTGGTACTCCCTAGAAATACATTAGTTTTTTAAAAAATGAGTAAAATATAATAAAGCATTTTAATATAAAAGTGCTTTATTTGTTTGACATTAAACCTTTGAACTTCAATTTTAAAATCAAATAAAACAAAAAAGGAAATTAACTGCAAGATTCCTATGAAAAGAAAAGCATCCAAAGCATGCCTTATATAAAGACAATGTGCACACTGAAAGGAAGGTAAAAAGTCCACAACAGCAACAACATGGAGCCCACCAAGGTGCGCACCAATGGTGGACTAGATAAGGAAAACGTGGTACAAAAACACCACGGAATACTATGCAGCCAAAAACAGAACAAAATCAGGTCCTTTGCAGCAACAGGGATGCAGTCAGAGACCATCATTCTGAGTGAATTATCACAGAAGCAGAAAATGAAAACCACATGTTCTCCCTAATAAGTGGGAGCTGAATGCTGTATGCACATGGGCAAAAGGATGGAAACAACAGACACTGGGAGCTCCCAAGAGGGGGAGGGTAAGGGCTGAAAACTACACACTGGGTACCATGTCCACTACCTGGGTGATGGGCTCAAGAGAAGCCCAGGTCACATTATCACACGGTATTCCTATATAACATACGTGCATGTGTATCTCTTGAATCAAACAGAAAATTTAATAAAAGAACTGAATGTCTAACTTGCTTCCTTTAACCCAACTGCATTATACTAAAGTTTGCAAAACATTCACATATAACAGCAAATCCTAACTCTATACAAATTGGAAATATATAAAATGTTATTGCAAATACAGCAAATCAAAATAGACTATTCTGATATTCCACAAAAATATTTAAAGCAATACTTCAATAAATTAATTCCACTAATAAGTTCAATTTCCTATTTAGCTATAAATATTAATTTACTACCTACTCCAAGTATTTTACGACCAAATACTATTCCACTGAGGTCAACATTATTCCATTAAGATTTCTTCCACTACTGCCCAACTGCCACATTTTGAAAACATGAAGTTGGTTTTTAAAAATACATATTATTTTTATTTTAAAGATGTGGGATACAATTCAGGGTTAGGTACATAAGTGGTCATCGTACAGGCAAAGTTTGGTGATGTTATGTGTCTGGTGATGTTACTGATGTTATTGATGTTATGTCCCCACAGTGTCCCACTATTGCTAATCTTTTTCTTATAGTATTATGATAAATGTACAGGGTCCACTTATGAGTGAGTACATGTATTCCTCAGATCTTTGTTTCTGTGATGAATCACTGAGTATTATAGACTCTAATTCCATCCAGGTTGCTGCAAAGGTCATAATTTCATTTTTCTTTATGGCTGCATAATATTTCATTGTGCAAATGTACATTATCTTCATCCAGTCCACCTTCAATGGGCAGCACAGCTGGTTCCATGTTTTTGCTATTGTGAACAATGCTGCAATAAACACACGTGTACAGGTATCTTTTTCATAGAGTGATTTGAGGGCTTCCAGGTATATTCCCAGAAGGGGGATTGCTGGGCCGTATGGAAGGTCGATTTTTAAATCTTTTAGAAATTACAAGAGGTATCACACTTCCAGACTTTAAACTCTACTATAAGGCTACAGTAATCAAAACAGACTGGTATTGGTACAACAACAGGTATATATACTTATGGAACGGGATGGAGATTCCGAAAACAAAACCTCCATTTCTCAATCAACTCATCTTTGACAAATCCTCCACCAGCAACCACTAGGGAGAGGAGAACCTATTCAGTAAATCATGCTGGAAAAACTGGCTGACCACATGCAGAACACTGAAACAGGACCCTTACCTATCACCATACACAAAAATCAACTCTAAATGGATCAATGATCTAAATGTAAAACCTCAAACTATAAGAATCCTAGAAGAAAATGTAGAAAATACCCTTACAGAAATTGAAATAGGCAACCAATTCCTGATCAACTCTTCAAAAGTGAATGGTATAAAAGGTAAGATAGCCAAGTGGGACTTCATCGAACTGGCTTCTGCAAAGCAAAAGAAACCATCAAGAGAGCAGAGAGACAGCCCACAGAATGGGGAAAAATATGTGCCAACTGTAAATCTGAAAAAGGCCTAACATCCAGGATCTATGAGGAACTCAAATGTGCGGAAAGGAAAAAAACAGCCCTATTAAAAAGTGGGCAAAAGACATGAATATATACTTCTCCGAAGAAGACATATGAGCAGCCAACAAATCCATGAGAAAATGCTCAACCTCACTAATCATCAAAGAAATGCATATTAAAACCACACAGAGATACCACCTAACTTGTCAGGATGGCCATCATCACTAACTCAAAAAAAAAAAACCCCAAAAAACAGAAGCTGGAGAGGATGTGGGGGAAAAGGGAACACTTCTACACTATTGGTGGGAGTATAAACTCGTATAACCTCTGTAGAAAAGCATGAAGTTTTAGGCCACTAGATTATTTTAGCAAATTATCCGTGACTGTAACTAAGCTACAAAATTGCTCCAAGTATTTGTTTTCCTTGATACCTCATATCTTCATCTTTTTTATTCAAACAAGAACTTTTTTACTCCTACAGAAATACGAAGTTAAAAGGTAGAGCAATTAAAATCAGTCCCACTGAATTTGTTTCAAAGATACAAGGACATTTTTGTAATAAACTTCTTTATTGAAGTATAACATTCACACAGAAAATAACAATCCTAAGTATATAGTTTCATGAATTTTTACAAAATAGACACATCTATTTAACTGCCACACAGATTAAGATACAGAACGTTCTCAGCACACCCACAGGCCCTCTTCTTTTTTTCTTTTTAGATTAGGAAAGATAGTTTATTTAGAAAGTAGAACCAGAGGTTCACAGATTCACTTCTCAGGAAGAGAAGGGGCCAGACACTTGAAGAAAACATGGTCTCACAGGCCCTCTTCTTATCTCTCCCTGCCACTACCCTCTCCCAAAAGTAATCACTATTCTGATTTTATTCACAGTTGTGTTTTGAATGCTGGACTGCCCCCCACTTCAAATGTTGAATCCTAGTAATCAGTGTGATGGTATCAGAAGGCAGAGCCTTTGGAACGTGCTTAGGTCATGAGGGCAGAGCTCTCATGAAAGGGATTAGTGCCCTTGTCAAAGACATCCCAGAGAACTAGCTTGTTCCTTCCTCCTATCATGGGGAGGACACAGTGAGAAGACAACATCTATGACTCAGGAAACGGCCTCTCCCCAGACACCAAATCTGCCAGTGCCTTAACTTGGACTTCCCAGTTTTCAGAACTGTGAGGAATAAACACCTGCTGTTTATAAGCTAGTTTGGGGAATTTTGTTACAGCAGCTCAATCAGACTAAGATAATCATCATCTATAAACGATGTCAGTTTTTAAATTTATATAGAGGAAGTATACAGTTTCTACTCTTTCTGTGACTGCTTCTTTTGCTCAACATTGTTTGTTTTATCCATGCTGTTAACATTCAAAAGCAGTTTATTCTTTTGCAATGCTGTGAAATATTCATGAGATAATTGAATTTCATTCTACTGCTCATGGGCCATGCATTATTTCTAGTTTGGGACTATCGTAAATAAAACTGCTATAAAGACTATACAATAATGTTGTCTTTTGGCTTCTGTGTGTTCTGGTAAGCATACCTAGGAATGAAATTGCTGATTCATGAGATAGTCATAGCTTCAGGTTTAGTAACGCTGCCAAATATTTTCCAGTTTTCGTTGTTTCAATTTTCACTCCTACCAACAATATACAAAAGTTCTTAGAACCCCATATCCTTGTCAACATTTTGTATTTCTTTTTAATTTTATCCATTTTGCTAGGTAAGTATTGGTATCTCTTTAGATATTGTTTGCATTTCTACCTATAGTTTATTTGTTAGTTGCAAGGGGGAAAAATACAACTTACAATGAAGAGAAGTAGGTTTTTCCACCTTAACTCAGCGATCAAATGCAGTATCACTGAGAAAAAGCAGACATCGTGCACTTTAGGATAAGACAAAATATAATGAAGCCAGCACTATGAAGTGTTCGTATCCAAACTGTTTAATGGAGCTAATTAACCTTAAGTCTAATTTCCAGTTTAGAGAAAAATGTAAGGGAACAGAGGACCAAGGTAGACGAAAACAAAAGGAAAAAGACAAATGCAGAATATGAAAAAACTAGCTCCATTTATTCAAAAAGTCATTGTCATGGGGAAAAAGAGAGAGAACATCTAATATTAAGACATTTAAGAATCATATAAAATGCCATCTATAACTCTTGACTAGTTTTCAGTTCCTAAAAACCATGGAAAATAATTTTAGGATGAGAAAATTTGAATATGATCTGATTTTGAGATTAGGCTATAATATTTTTAAATTACTGTTAATTTTATTAAGTGTGACATTGAGACTATGAGCATACATAGGAGAATAACAATAGTTTTTAGAGATTCATGCTAAATGTATATGGGGAAAATGTCATGATATCTGAAACATTCTTTGATACATTGCAGAAGAAAATTGTACATAAAGGAAATAGGACAAAATGTTAATTGTTGAATCTAGGTAGTGTAGTAGTTATATGGTTGTTCATTCTATTTTTCTTTTTACTTTTCAGCGTGTTTGCCTTTTTTTTTTTTTTTAATACGACGTTTAAGAAAGGAATCCAATTTTAAGGGTGTTTAAAAGCTTGTGTGCAGGGAACAATTCTAGACATTAACGCTATTCCTCATAATACTAATGTGCAAAAACCCTCTCTGCTCAAGGACT